CCCTAGATCCCCGAATCTCCAATTTTATTTCCCTAGAATTTAAGGGCATAAAAGTAATTTTAAGGCATTTATCCAAGTGGCTTGTCCATCTCAATACAAAAATGCCACATCAAATACAAAAGAGGGGTGGGTGAACGGACTGTTAAAAGCTAACAAAAAGATGGTGATTGCATTAACAGAGGGGTGATTTGCCATTGTCGGTGAGTTGAGGGGGTAATCTGCACATAAAGTGGGTTGAGGGGATGATTTGCCATCAATGGGTGAGTTAAGGGGGTGATCTGCATGTTTTGCCTCTTTTTTTTGCTTCAAGGACACACGTCCACCTCCACGGGACATCAATGGGCATCACGTCCAGAATTAGAAGAGAGAATGTGTGACTTCAGATGTTGAAAGATGAGGAAAAAAAAAATATGTAATTAAAAATATCAATTTTTTAATTTTTTTATTTAAAAATATTAATTTTAAAAAATATATATTTATCATGTTTAGTATTATTATTTAATTAATTTTTAAATAAAAATAAATAAAATTGACATTTCTGTTTACACATTTTGTCCATCATCTCTCTATAGATGTTAGGCATACTCCAAATAACACAAGTCTTGTTCTAAACGACATATAACAAACTTGTCTTTAACCCAAAAAGAAAAAAAAAAAAAAGAAAAAGAGGTGATTTATGCTTGGGAATGCTGACTATATTAATGGGTTTATAGGAACATGGTGTAGATCCCACAAGTTGGTTGTTTCAAATAATGTATTGAGCTAAATGCCAACGCCCTCAGTAAAACTCAAGCTATCAATGAAAATGATCAGCTCAATAGAATGGCAGCGAAAATATTTATGGAAATGCTAAGATCAAAGCAAAAGCATGAAGCATTTAATTCGATTTTGCAACTAAATTTGAGCAAAAAGTAAAGGAAGCTGCAAAACCAGCTCATCAATGAACAAAATTCATCTTCAATAATACATCTTCACCATATCACATCCGACAGCAAGTATCAACAAATACGTGCCCTATTCTTGGTTTCTTTTTGACTTCTGTCTATCCCTTTCAGGTATAAAATAAATGCAAATTAGTTGAAGACGGTAAAGCAACTATTTTCTCTCCTCAGCCACGGTCCCCTTCTAACAAGTAGGTAAGATAGCAGTAACACATAAATGTATGCATCTAGAAGAAGTGGCAGGAAAATTATTTTACATATGAGAAACAAGAAAATTAATGAACAAAGAGAAAGCATAAGAAAACCCCACATTTTCTTTCATGGGATCCTTTGCTTCGTTCATAAAAAAGATCTTCTTGGAAGGTGGATTGGCACAATGGCCAGCAGGAGCAGATAAGCACCTTTTTTTTTCTCCCCCCCTTTTGCATAAGTTATAATGGAAGTCTGTTTAGTGTTTACCAAAAGGCTTAAAACCGTGTGGGGGCACTGAGCCAAAAGAGAGATTAAGAAAAAGAGGAGGCGTGATAGGCTGGAAAGTGCAATAAAGTTCAGCACGAGAGTAAATACGGAACTACGGACACTATTGAAGAAAGAAAAAGGAAAAGACACAGTTTCTTATGATCATATTAGTTAATGTATGGAACTAAGGCCTAAGGAAGAGCAACATATCGAGAAAGCAAAATAGTTCAACAGGAACTCTATTTAATTTAAAGAAAAACTATTCTAAATTGATCATTAATTAAGCATGCATTTTTTTTTTCTTCCCCATCAAAAAGTAGCATGTTTTGTTCTTATCAGAAGATAATTAAAATAGTACTTCATCTAACCGACTTCTCCTATTATTTATGTTGCCATGCCTACCTTTTATATTGAGGTATGTATTAGAGTTTTTTTAATTTGTGTCTTGTCTTATTTTATAATAAAATTTTATAAGAAAATATAAAAATAAAATATTATTTTTAACACTAATATTACTTAGATAATTTTAATTAAGTAGTTGATAAATTTAAAATTAATTTTTATTTTTTTATATAAATTAATTAAAAAATATAATTAATATATTTTTAATACGTGTCACATGCTAGATACACCTTTTATATTATTATTATATTACATATGTTTTATAATTTTATATGTTTTGAAAATGTAATCATAAACATTGACTCTGCTTGCACTAATTCCACTAGCTGATTCTGGCAAGATTTTAAACAAGTCAATCATTCTCTAGTGGAAAAGTTAGGCACAAATAGTGGGGTTTTCCTACTTTCCAAAAGGCAAGAAAACTACACATTACCCTTCAATATCACTAATCCAACTTTGCCTTCATAGTGGCCAAAGAAATATGAGCTTTCCGGTTACTAGCCTTCTAAATTGTATGACATCCTTGGAGGTTTGGAGAACAACTAAATCTTACCTTCACATCTCAGTATCTCACTCTCCAACTGGTTTCAGCCTTTCTATAAATCCAAAAATATGTCTTTTAAATTTCCAGCATCCAAGAAGTACATAAAATGGAAAAGTTTTGCAGAAAGGTTGCACATCAATGGAGAATAGAGTCAGCTTACTGTGAAGCAGAAATCATTTCAAAAGGAGATTAAACTCATAGTAAGCAGTTCAAGTAAAGAAACAGGAGAAATCATTTGAAGCCTATATGTCCTGTTCACATTTTTTTATTTGTATTGTTGATCATAACTTATGGTTAAAAACTTTAAATTGGAAATATTTAATTTGCCACCAAATTCCATGATAATAATTAAAAGAAAACGGGAGAATACCTCCATTTTGATGACAAGCGTAATAAAATTCCACTAAGAAAAGCTAACCAGCACAATCCACATCACTTTCCTCATCATAAACCACCATTACTCCCCCCTGGACCAGGATCCACTCTTCCCACCAGTTTTACGCTCAAGCCGTACCTCTGTGATTTGGATATCTTTGGAAGCAGCCTTGCACATGTCGTACACTGTTAGTCCAGCAACGGTCACAGCTGTCATTGCTTCCATTTCAACCCCAGTTTTACCTGTGCAAGAAGCTTCCCCTTCTATCTCAACACTAAAATCCTCAGGATTCAGCCTTAAATCAACTCGAACATGGGTCAAAGTGATGTTATGGCATAGCGGTATGAGGCTGCTAGTATGCTTAGCACCGCTTATGCCAGCGATTTTTGCCACGCTAAGGACATCTCCCTTAGCCATCTGGTTGGCCAAAACCAAATCAAACACCTTTTTCCCCAGAATTACTTTGCAACTAGCAGTTGCTGTTCTCTTGCTACTTTCTTTGGGTGACACGTCTACCATCTGGGCTTCCCCTGAGCTGCCAACATGAGTCAGACCTGATATATTTTCTCCTAAATTTTGCAACATATTAGGGGTTTGTGGAGGCATAAAATCATTACTGCCACAACTAGAAATCCCACGAGTCTTGTACTCGGATTCTTGAGCCGAAGAACTTGTATCCATAGACCCAGCAAACCCATCTGGAGGAGGTTCACCAAAGATTGATTCCATTTCCTGAAATAAAAAATACCACGTAAATACAAACAATAAAGTTCCTCTCTCTTTTTCATTTCCTCTGTGAATGAAATTATCAGTGCCTTATTGAGCTCCGCAATGGAGCTTGAGAGATCATGGCTGCTGTCACTGCTAAAGAACCTTCTTGAGCGAGGAACCGCCACAACAAGTCGACGGAGGAGCATGATGGGCAGAAAAAAGCTTGTTTTTCCCACGGCAAGAAAAATCACAGAAACTGAAAATAAAAGAGAAATAAGGTACTCTCAGAACACTAGGCAGATAAAATCTTCAGCTTTTACTTGGTTGCAACTGAACCAATACTCATTACAATATAAGATGCAAATACTAGAATGTACGTCGTGGGAAATTCAAAACCGATTCTCGTTCAGGCATTTTGACAAACATTTGGCGTTCATGAAATAAGGAAAACACAGAAATAGAAAGACTGAACCCGTTTTCTCCGACAGAACGAGAGATTGAGGCATGAAATTCCTTACCTTAAAATGGAAACAGAAGATTTACCATGAAAATTACAGTTTTCAAGTCGCAGAGAACTTTAAGATTTTGCTTCAAATTTCATTTTTAGGGGGATGGGGGGAGGGAGGGATGGTGTCGGCCGAAGGAAAGGAAGGGAGGTCTTGGGCCGGTCATGGAATTTTGAATTCGGCTCCATGGATTTTCTCCACTGGGCTTCAATCGGCCAGCCCAGCCAATGCCTATCGAGCCTGAACCGCTCCAAGTTGGTTTATATCTACCGGCCCATGGGTATTAATTTTTTGGGCCAAGCCCATGAAACACGA